ATAAAGTTTTACAATTTTTTTTTATTTTAATTTACAATTATAATTATTGTAAAATGTATACATTTAATTAATTTTTAATTTTTTTGAAATATCAGATAAATCGTTTTGCACAACCGGTTTTGTTAATAAATTTTTGCTAGTTTTTTAGAAACTTTAGAAAAAAATATAGGTTTTCGAAAACTCTATTAGTTTTTATTCTTTAAACTATCTGACTATTTTGAAAAATTTATTTCTTCTGCCTTAATTGGTAGGTATAATTTTAAAGTAACATATTTAAGAACAAATAATAATAATAATAATAATAAAACTTTTTTATACATTACATTTGTGTGCTCGTTTGTGTGAGTAACTTCCCAGTAAAAAAAAAGTATAGACAGTAAGGAAAAAGTATAGACTCATAGCTTAGTGGCTATACCGTTCGGCATGTAATGACGGTATAGAGACGTTACGGTGTATACTTTTTTCTTACCGTGAATACGGTTCACCTGGATTGTTTGAATTGATGTGTATTAACGCGATTTGACATTGTCAATGAAAAAGCCGATTGTTTTGAAGTGTAATAATGCCGATTACGAGGAGGAGCGACGAAATTTTATCTAAAAGTTAAAAAGGTAAATGTGACAGGCACGAGACCTGCGAGAGTTGTTACCACTGGATTGAGAAAATGCATCATTACTGACAAAAAGTATTCGACAGAAACTTACCGACAGAAAGTTACTAGGAAGAGCGGCAAATTCAAATGGTCAAATTAAATTCGAATGAATATATACATAATTTAATGTAGTTTTTTTATTTTAAATCAAGTATAGTATTTTAAATAATTAAATACCGATATTAAATAATTAATGTTTATTATAAAAATTGACATATAGACATGAAAATTTTTTCATTTTTAGCATTTAAATCTGTGAAATAATGAAATATTGTAATTTTATTTTTTAATTACAAAAAATTATTATTTTTTATTAATTATTAATAATTAAATTTTTTCATAAAAATAAAAATGTACTGCAAAGAATATGTTTTATGCATTGAAAAATAAAAATTTGTTAAAATATATTATTTCTATATTTTGTAAATAAAGTTATTTATTAAAATAATTTTTTTATTTATAAAATTGAAATAGATTAAAAAATTAATGTTTTAAATTAAAAATTTTTTATTTGAATTAATATATGTAATTAACTATTATGAAAATTAATTAGTCGTTAAAATTTTTTTTTTTTTAATAATAACTAATCTTTTTTTACCTATAAACAAATTTAATTTTATTTTGAACAAAATTATATTTTTAATGATAAAAACTTTGTTATTTTACATAGAGACGAATAATATTATACTTTTTTTATTTGTGAGTGAGAAGTGACCAAAACCAAATAATTGTAAATCATCGTAAAAATATTTTAAAAGGGATAGAAACAAAACAATACATTTTAAAATTATACAACACAAGAATACTCGCAAATGCGATTGTAAAACGAAAAGTACGAAAGTAATATAATTTTAGGTTTATTACGTCCTGCAGCCGTTAGGTGGCAGAAGCATGCAGGGAGCACAATGTCGCAGCTGTCATTATATTACTTTCGTACTTTTCGTTTTACAATCGCATTTTTGTATAGATTTGCACAATCTTTCGGATTTAAGAAATTTATAAGATAAGGATCCTTGGTATTTTTTCCGATTTTGAAAAAAGTGTCCGCGTTTTGAGAAAAAAGTATTTTAAACTCAATGTTTATCATTTTCACGTTCAGTGCCGTTTTTATAGGGCGATTATTGAATGCCAAAGAATTTCAGAGACCGTTCGACACTTTTAAACGATATTTTTTTATTTGTGAATTTCTTTTATATTTAAACGCATTCTTTTATCCTACAATAATTTTTAATGCTTATAATTTGTTTCATACGCGTATATGCGATTTGCGAGTATTCTTGTGTTGTATAATTTTAAAATGTATTGTTTTGTTTCTATCCCTTTTAAAATATTTTTACGATGATTTACAATTATTTGGTTTTGGTCACTTCTCACTCACAAATAAAAAAAGTATAATATTATTCGTCTCTATGTAAAATAACAAAGTTTTTATCATTAAAAATATAATTTTGTTCAAAATAAAATTAAATTTGTTTATAGGTAAAAAAAGATTAGTTATTATTAAAAAAAAAAAATTTTAACGACTAATTAATTTTCATAATAGTTAATTACATATATTAATTCAAATAAAAAATTTTTAATTTAAAACATTAATTTTTTAATCTATTTCAATTTTATAAATAAAAAAATTATTTTAATAAATAACTTTATTTACAAAATATAGAAATAATATATTTTAACAAATTTTTATTTTTCAATGCATAAAACATATTCTTTGCAGTACATTTTTATTTTTATGAAAAAATTTAATTATTAATAATTAATAAAAAATAATAATTTTTTGTAATTAAAAAATAAAATTACAATATTTCATTATTTCACAGATTTAAATGCTAAAAATGAAAAAATTTTCATGTCTATATGTCAATTTTTATAATAAACATTAATTATTTAATATCGGTATTTAATTATTTAAAATACTATACTTGATTTAAAATAAAAAAACTACATTAAATTATGTATATATTCATTCGAATTTAATTTGACCATTTGAATTTGCCGCTCTTCCTAGTAACTTTCTGTCGGTAAGTTTCTGTCGAATACTTTTTGTCAGTAATGATGCATTTTCTCAATCCAGTGGTAACAACTCTCGCAGGTCTCGTGCCTGTCACATTTACCTTTTTAACTTTTAGATAAAATTTCGTCGCTCCTCCTCGTAATCGGCATTATTACACTTCAAAACAATCGGCTTTTTCATTGACAATGTCAAATCGCGTTAATACACATCAATTCAAACAATCCAGGTGAACCGTATTCACGGTAAGAAAAAAGTATACACCGTAACGTCTCTATACCGTCATTACATGCCGAACGGTATAGCCACTAAGCTATGAGTCTATACTTTTTCCTTACTGTCTATACTTTTTTTTTTTACTGGGTTATTAAATATAAAAGTTTTTCTTTCCAACTTTTAGAATTCATTTATTTTGTGAGAAAATTATCTATTTGTTAATAATTTAATTAATTAATTTTCTAGTAGTGTCAAAATAATTGTATTGGGCAACCTGCTTAGCTTTAAATTTTTTTAAATAATTGAATATAAGATATTTTACTTCTTCATGATTTTGAAGGCATAATTTGTGAGAAACCTAGTTTGAAAAATAATTTTTTGAATAAATGTTTTTTAAACTCGAAATGAGTCTTGTTCTACTAGCTTTTAAAAATTTTCATAGCTTTATGTACTTTTAAAAATAAAAAAATTCTCTTAGAAACATTTATTGCATTTTTTCAACATTTTTTAAATGGAATTTTTAATTTTTTTTTGTGGATAACATTTTGCATTTGTTTTTTAATATGTTTAAATTTTTTCGAATAAATTTTCTGATGAATATTGTGGATTATTTATGAAAAAAATGGTCTTTGGAATTCTAACCTGTTAATTTAAAATGAAAAAATTCTCAAAATCTCAAAATTATAATTTATTTTAAAATTTCTATTATTTTTTATTGGCAATTTTTTTTGAAATCCTGAATAATGAAGCTAATAAAATAAAAAAAATTAAATTTATTACAAAATAAAAGTTCGATTGAAAATAATGCCGGAAAAAATATTGACTTATATCAACAATGTCAATTACAAAGGGTAAAAAAATTTCACCGGTAATCGACAGATTTATAGTTTAAAACAAAGTGTTGTGTTAAATTATTGTAGTGAAATATACCTTTTTATCTGCTTCGAAAAACTTTTTGTACTTGGTTAACCTTTTTCAATTAAATCGATGTTCAATTTCTGGCTTATTACGTACAGTTTCGCCTTACACTTTGACTGATTTGAATTTTCTAATTGATTTATCTACCTGATTAATTATTTATAAATTAATTTTAAGTTAAACTTGTTTTGATTAATAGTAATAAAGAATAATTTCTGAAATGTTTTTCTTTAAAAATTTAAAGTTTAATTTGAACATGACATAGATAAGTTTGGCTAATTTTAAAATAACCTATGAAATTTGTTTTTTAAATCAATATTATACATGTATATTAAAATACGTACCAACATATTGATTTTGCACAAAGGTTTGATTTTGAGGAATGGTTTAAAAATAAGTCCACTTTGTATGTTTTTCTGTAGCATTATCCCTGGAGTCTTTATTTCTTGATGAAAATTTGCATTTATTATATATTAAGAAACAAATACTATAAATTATAGAAAAATAAAATTATAACATTGAAAAAACCTGAAAATAATTTAATTAATATTGCTTGTTGTAGTAATTTCTCATTTTGTGATTGTAAGATCGGGCAGTTGGTTTTCTCTGTCTTTTGAATGGTGCATCTGAAAAATTGTAAAATATTAAATAATAAACCTTTAACTTTTCTTTCGTGTTTTTTAACAATTAAAAACTGGGATTCGTGCTACTTGTGGAAATATTGGACCTTTTTCCACACAAGATTGAGAAAATAAAATTAATATACAAAATTATAACATAGGCAGTATAATTTAAAACTTTTGAAAGTTTTAAAAATGAATAAAAAATTTATAAAACTTACTGTTTTCATTTCCCCACTGCCGGTCAAACTGTGGAGCTTGAAATCCCCACTGCAAGTCAAACTGTGGACCTTGAAATCCATATTCTGGTGCTATGGTCCCTGAACCCTGAATTCCATATCCTGGTGGTCTGACAAACGGCTCTGTGACTAAAAAATAATTCCATTATTTTTTTTATTTAACTGATTATTTTAGAAGAATAATATTATTAAATTCTTTTACCGTTCGGTCTGTAGCTAGTAGATGCAAGGGGCACTAAAAATTAAAAATTTTTTTACTATATGAAATTAATATTAATTCAATGTTTAACGTAAATTTTTTGCATCAGATATATTAAGATATTTTAGAGACTTTAAAGCATCTATAAATCTCTAGAATATCCAAATTGTCCTGCTGTAATAAAAAAAAAATAATAATTTTATTAAACTTGCTAATCGGAGCTGTCCAATCTCCTGCTTGTTGTGGATGTGGAATTTGTGGATATGGGTGGAATCTGTAGTAGGGATGTGGCCCTAAAAATTAAATTTTTATTTAGTTTTTATTAGTATTTATATGTATAATAAAATATTTTAATTCTCTGCCTATAATTACGAATTGCCATGGATAAAATAATTATCTAATTATAATAAAATAGAAATGTTTATAGAATCTAGATTTTAAATATACATAAAATTCTATAATGAGTTATTGTGAAAACATTAATGTATAGACAAAAATAATTTCTTTATTTTACCTCGAAAATTCTGTCTATGTAGATCCTGTCTACTACCCATGTCAACAATATCCTCAGTTTGAGTCCCTTTATCTACTGTAATTAATAGACTTTCGGTTTGCGGTGCTTGATCCTTCATTTCTGAAATTTGATAATAATAATAATATATATCTTATTTATATTTAGAAAATATTTTCATTTTCTGTCCATAATTTCAAACTGACAAGAGTAGGAGAAAGTGAGGCAAAACATTAAATTTACCTAGTTCTTAATTTTGTAATTCCGAATTTGCAAAGAATCAGACAAACGTTCTGCTTGCAGAACAAAATGTACTCAAGTGTATTTTCTTTTACTTAGATAGATTTTTAAAAACTTTAATGAACATAATTTATAGAAATGTTTCACAGAAATATTTCATTTTGAATATTACCTTTACAGTTATTTCCATCATTTTCAACAATCAGCGATTCAGTTTGACTCATCTGATCAATCTTAATGATAAATTCACTTTTTGCTAAGTCTTCATGATTATTTTTTAGTATTTCATCATTCAGATCTAAAATTTATTTTCGTATTTTAAGAGATGCTTATATTCTTCTATTTACTAATTTTATTATAGATAATTTTTATTTTAATTATCTTACTACTTAACTGATTTTCATCCTTTTGTTGATGCATCTGCTTTGAAACCTGATTAAATTCGGTGCTAAGTAATTCACTAAGCAAATCTGAAATTTATTATTTTATATTTTTTGCTTTTTATTTCATAAAATTGTATATTTTTGTTTTTTTTTAATAAAAAAAACATAATCAATAAGAAAGTGCTTTCTTACTCTCCATGCCTGCATCCGAGGAAAAGTTATACCCTTCGTCCAGAAGATCACTTGTGGCATTGGATTCTGGTGTAAATATTAAAACTGAAATAAATATAAATAAATAATTGATAATATTTTATATTTAATACAAGTTAGATTTATTTATATTTAAAAGAAGGACCTTATTTTGTTAAAATAAATTTAAAAAATAAATAAAATGAACTAAAGCTAAAGGGGATAGAAAATTGAGTAGCAATCGTGCTCCTCAATTTTAACCCTTAGGCTTTCTTCGGTCAGATGAGAACGTATTATGCCAACTACTTGATTAAATTATAAGCATTTATTAATATAGAAGTGACAAACCTTCCGTCAACTCTACATCAAGTTCTTGTTCATTTAATTCGTCCATACGTTTTTCACAAGACTCTACTCCGTTGTTGTCTTCAGATGTCAATTCAAAGTTAAACTTTCGAAGTTTGACCATCGGTGGCACTATTAATTTATACTTATGTTATTCATAAGAAATATTTTTAAAAAATATATTTTTTTCATATTAATACCGTAAAAAAGATCAAAGTCGGTTGTGTTGGTAAAAGTTGATATTTTTAAAATTAAGTTAATAAAAAAGGTCTTAAACGTCAGAATTTCATTAAATGTAAATAATTGTTTTGGAAAAAATTATCTAAATCACTCACGTTTTGTGTATTTAAAACTTTTCTTAACTTGATCGTGCATAAGTTTAAATGCTGCTTTTACGGTCAATCTGAAATAATATAATTAATAAGCAACTAATCATAAAATTTTTTATAATAAGTTATATTTAGTAAAATTGTTTACCTCGGAACGTTCTGTAATTTGTGAATAGTATCTTCAATTATTTTAGAAAATTCTGATTTAACTTTTGTTTTTTGTCGCTCCGTCATCAAGTCGTTAAGAGTTTCTAAAAAAATTTTTGTGGAAAAATTAGTTTTATTAAAAAGTATATTATTTGATAACTATTTTGTTTAAAAAACTTGAATTAATTCTATGTGAGAAAATAAATTACCGATTAATTGTCCTGGAGACTTGCTCTTTTTTACTAAATCAAATTGTTTTCCAGCGATTTCAAAAATATTATTGTGTGTAACCACATTGTCAGAAACAATACATATTTCAGATCCAATTTTAGAAACTATTTTTATGACGTCGTTAGAGAATTTACTGTACGCATTCGATTTTTCGGTACAGCTAATAAACTCTCCTTGAGCATCAAAAAGATTTTGGGTTGGAACTAATGGAATGACATAACTTGCCGTTAAAATTTCATCAGAGTCCGAATTAAATTCATTCTCGATGAAAGTCTCTTTCATGATCTGAAAATATTATTTTTAAGTTGAAATTGATTTATGAGGAAAGTGATTAAATATTAACATTGACAGTAATATATTGTTTCATCATTGTTAAAGTATTAAATTTTTTAAAATTTTTATTTGTGATTTTTCGATTTATTTCAATGTTTTGTATCAAGTCAAGAATTATGTTTTCAAAAAATATTCCTAATTTCGTGTATGTGTGCGTTTCCCCATTATATATTTTTTTCAGTATTGCCCATTTTTGAGATATCTTTTTTTGTTAATATCTTTAAAAAAATGTAATTGACATAATTTGTTTAGATAATTTTCTTCATTTATTTTACGGAGCTTCTCAAAAAGCATTGGTTATAATTTTTTAATTAATTTTTAAGATAAGTTTTCAGTTTTTTCAATGCTTTCAATAAATATCAATTGGCTTTTATCAGAACACTCAATAATCAGAAAACAAAAAAAAATTAATAATTTTAAAAATAAGTTTTTACACATTATGAAATAGCAGATACCTGTCGAAAATGATACCATCCAGGCTTGTAAAAAACGTTTAACGACATTTCTTGGCAATTTCTTTTAAAGTCCAAATCGTGAGGGCCCACAATTGTCTTCACATTTTGCATAAATGGCATTGATAGAATTTCTTTCAATATTTCTCTTATAATAGCCGCACTCAGTGATATGATTACTGCACAAAATACTATGAAACCCTTGGAAATCGAAAAGAAAAATTTTTTGCTATTAAAAACAATTTTATTAATTTATGAAAATGTAAAATGAATAAAAAAATAAATTATGACATATTATATTTTTTTAATTTAAAAATTTAGTAGTAATGTAAAAATTGATTAAAAAACATACTTTTCCTGCATCTTCAATAATAAAGTTAATGAACTTTACGTCAAACTTTTCGAATTCCAACTGCAAAAAATAATATTTATTTAATAACAAGAGAAATCTTTATTACTAAGTTTTTTAGATGAATAGCAGAGAAAAACTTAATTACATATTTTTTTATACAAGAGACACATAACGCACGTAAAGTTTATAGTTTATAATAGATTTTTTAAAAATTTGAGAAAAAATTTAAATTCAAAATTACTTGAAAAGAATCGTCGATGTATAAAGTTTCAACATCACTTTTGATCGATGAAAGCTTTAAAATTTCGACTCCTGGAGTAATTGACTTGCAGTGTGTGTCCGAAGATTTCAGCGCTTGAAAAAATTGAGTGCTTGTTTTAACTGTCTCAAATTTTTCCATCCTAGCTTTCATCATTCGAGGCCTTAATCCATTGAAAGATAGGGTGACTTTTTCACTAAATTAACAATTTTAATAATAAGCACAAAGTCACATTTATCAATATTTTAATACACGTTTGACAAAACGTACATGAAATAAATTAAATCTCATGAAATCAGACCAACTTCAAACTTCACACTTTGGACATATATTTCACATTATAGCTTAATTCATCGATTATTATTGAAATAAATTAATTAATTAATTAATTAATTAATTAATAAATTAATTGAAATTAATGAAATAAATTAAATCTCATGAAATCAGACCAACTTCAAACTTCACACTTTGGACATATATTTCACATTATAGCTTAATTCATCGATTATTATTAGTATTGAAATTTTTACCATTAAATTAAATGGAAATAACCAAAAAAAGTTATTTTTTATTATAATAATTTGTAAAAAACATTCATTCCGAGAAAAAATATTTTGTTTACGCAATAACGTTTTGTATTGAATAAAAGAATTATAAGGTGAAAAAATGCTTTACCTTTCGCAAACTTGATCGAAAATTGTTTTAAAACTCTCGCTTGATGTTTTGCATATTCGTAATATCTCTTCTTCTGCCTTCTTTTGAATCTCGTAGTCATTTTCAGGAGCATCGTGGTTATGTATTTCCTGTCCGCATTGCCATTTCCCATCTTCGAGATTTACTTTTGCCTTGCATTTTTTTCTTCTCATAGCACAATAAGCTGTAGATTTATTTGATGTCGACAAATAATATTTGAATTTATTCACTACGATAACACTAGAATTACTTAACTTTTCTTCCAATTCGGACATCCTTATACAAGCCGCAAATATAACGAGAAAAATGAAAATGATCTTTCGTTGACATCTACAAATATAAACTTAAAAAAAATGACAATCGTTAAAATCGCTGCAAGAAAAGCCGATCTACAAATTCAATACATTCATTTATTAAAATTTAAACTAAGTTAATAAAAACTCGGTAATAGAGCATATTTTAAAATTCAAAATAATCAATAAAATATTTTTATTTATATGTCGTCTTGTTAACCTTTTAGCCAGAAAAATAATACATTTTTGCCAAATATAAAGTTCATTTCCGATACAATCCAAACTATTTATTTAGGGTTATCAATGATTAGAAAGAAATAAAAAAAAGTGAATTTAGAAATCAAAAAAATCAAGAAAGAGTTAAATATAATTAAAAAAAATTGAAAATAATTTAAAATTTTTGAAAAAACTACAAAACTTTTTTTAACATTAAAATATAAATAAAATAAGTAAATAAAAACTTAAATTAATTTTTTATTGTAATCTTTTTATTGGTACAAACTGTTAAAGGCGATACTTTTCTCTGTCATTATAGAAAAAAATTAACTTATGTGGAAAGAGTTTTTTTCACTACACATAAAGTAAATAAACAAAAACATGAAATGCTTTTATTACATCAGAAGCAATTAATTTTGAAAAATTACAAATTTAATTATTTTTCTTATTTTTTATTTAAAAGGAAAACAATTATCACCATTAACACCTCTTGAAAAGTGTTCGTTGATTTTCCATTTATTTCAAATTTCTTCTTCAAAAATAATCAAACTCAAAAAATCTTGAAAATTTACGAAAGCACATAAATTCGTTGCACAAAATGCGGTTGCAAAAATTAAATTTAGGCCTTGCTACAGGTAGCCAAAAACTGTTGTAGATTACTACAAGAAAAATTATTTAATGTTTTTCTTTCTGAATATATAAACTAAGAAAAATTCTAGTTAAAATTAAATAATATATGTGGAGAAAGCTATGCCAGGAAAATAATAATTTTTCGACAAATTTTTTATATAGAATTTTTTGTAAATTTTCTTAGAAAATATGTACAAACAAATAAGTGGAATTAAAAGAATCATTATACGTAAAACTGCAGGTGTTCTCTACGACATTTTAAAAATATTTATACCTATTTCTTTATAAATAAAAGCAAAAAAAAGTAGTTTAGGTTTTCTTTATGGATTGAATAATATAAAAAAAATTAGTGAGCATTATAAGTATTTTTTTTAAATCAATGCGTCAAAATAATTAAATTAGTAATAATAAATAATAATAAAAAAAATTTACATAGTATCAAAAAATTCAAAGATTATAATAAAAAAATTAATTAAACATAAATATTATTTTCAAAATATCTAAAAAAACATAACTAATACAAGGAATGAAAAGAATGGGCCCTTTTCTTAGAGAAAAAAAAATTAAACACTAAAATTAACAATTAATTGATGAATCCTTCATAATTCGACGTGTGAAACTCGGTACATTTAAAAAAATTGAAAAAGATTCAAGATTATTCATCACAATTAATAAATTCCCCTTTGTAACTTAGTATAAATAGTATTAGACGAACCCATTTCTTTGCAAATCTTCTCTAGCTTTAAAAATTGTAATGTCACGAGCTTTGTCCTTTTCCTGCATTAGCGTTCCAATAAACTTTCCTAAGTTCAGATCAACCAATCTCTTATACTCCACATCAAATGTTATTTTCATTCTAACTGTACATGTACAAGTAAATTAGTAAATTTGAAAATTCTATACTGACTGTTTGAAAAATATCTTAAATATTATTTTACGCTACATTGATAGTAAAATTTTAGTGGTGTTTTCAGACCATTTTTCAAGTAGGGCTTCTAATATTTTTCTCTAATGAAGTATTCATCGACATTACATTATAATTTCAAAATAGTTTTAACGATTGAGTAAGAATCAAAAGAGGGTTAGTCCTTTTTAAAAAAGAATAAAAAGGAAGATTGCGAGAATCACTCGAAAACTCAAAAGTATCGATTAACTCGAATGAGGAACCGTCTCTAATTGGTTAATTGGAAGTAGCACGCGAAAATTTAAAATTTAAGTATTTTAAAAAAATTAACAGAAAAAAAATACATTATAACATAGGTTAAAAAAAAGATTGCGCCGGGAAAAAAAGATTTCGCCGATAGGATTGCGCTGGAAAAACAAATTGCCCCGACAGGATTGCGCCGAGAAAAAAGATTGCGCCGGAAAAAATATTGTGCCAAAGGATTGCGCTGGGAAAAGACGATTACGCCGAAAGGATTGCAAAGGAAAAAAAAGATTGCGCCGATGGAATTACGCCCGAAAAAGATTGCGCCGAGAAAAAATTGGATTTATTAAAAACGTTAAGAACCGCGTTTATAATTTTTTAAAGCCGGTCACCCATCAAATTTAGGACTCATTTAGAGGTGACTTACCTTCTTCTTTCAAACAGAGGTTTAGCCATCCCGAAATGAGTCCAAAATTATATTTGTCACCCTTTAATTTATTAAAAATGTCGAGATCCGAGTTAATGATTTTCTATGTTTGCGTTTAAATTTGCAGTATTATTAATAAAATAATTAGGAAATAGCAATTATAAACGCAAGATTAAAAGGAAAATATTATAAATCGTAATCTTAAATAAAAAATGAAAAAGGATAATTTGAGTGAAAAAAAACAGAAGCAAAGGAGCCGGCCGCTTGCGGCTGGCGCTTGCGCTAGTTTTAATTAAACAAGAGTTCAAATTTTTAATAAGTATAATACAAAAAGACAAAATTATGCGTTTAGATATCTGGAAAAAACAAAAGTAAATATCTATGTTAGCTTTTAAATGAAAATATTTATTAGATATTTCATTGATGACTTAAAGTAATCTATTTAGAAAAAGTGAAATTTTCTCACCAACAAAATTCCATATTTGTGGATGACTGCCTCCTAATTTTGTTCTCAGCCTGCTGTTTAATGATTCACACAGATTGTTAGTTCTATGAGGCAAATGTCCAACGCACATGATTTCTCTCCTTTTTCCCCAATATTGCTTCCAATACTTAACGAATTTGTTGAGTTTTAAATGGTATATTCGATGATATTCTTTAACTTTGGCCTTAATTATTTCCAAACCATCAAAAAAGTGATCTGCCGGCGCCAAAGCAAGACAGCACGCAAAATTCAGCATTGAGGATGGTGCTTTCTTCAAACCCAATTTTTTCCAATATTTTTTTTTTGCCTTAATTTATATATTTAATAAAATAATGTAATAATAAATAAGCAACTCATATTAAAAGGTTTCCGAAAATGACTTTTGGAACTGAATTCTAAATATTTAAAAGTTACAATTTATCGAAGGATTTTTGAATTATTTGACGTGTTTTAAAAAATTGCTAAAGTTTTAAAGATAATTTTTGACAAAAAGGAAAAATTTCTAAAAAGTTTCAACCACTATTTTTATTTTTTAAATAATTCGTTAATTTAACAATAATTATTCTTTAAGTGTCAAGATTGCTTTTGAAAATTTAAGATGAATAAATATAATAGATGAATGTCCCATGTTTTTAATGAAACCAAGAGCAG